AAATTTCAACTGTCTCTTTCTGATACTATGTATAAGTGTCCATTTTGTTTCTATTTTCTCTAAAATTTATTGTTGGTCACAATTAAAATTCTCATTTAATTTCAAGATCTGATATCAGCAAGACAAATTAAGAATATATTATGATCAATTTGAAGCCCAAAATAGGAAGAATTTTGTCTATTAAGGAAGAGGCTATTCTTTTGAAAGTTATTATATAACAAATAATAACAATATATTTCAATATGAAATGATGCACTATAGTATATTTGAAAATCATAACTTCTACTTTTATTCAAAGGAAAATTTATGGTTCAAAATAAAACTTTTGCATCTATGAGATAAAAAAAGAGGTCTTAATTCCTTCCCCAGTAGGTTCTAAACATATTATATATGCTCAATAAATATCTCTAATTTTTTCTAATATATATATATATATATATATATATATATATATATATATATATATATATATATAGCGGTATTTATTTTTATATATCAAGAACAATATTGAAGAATTTGTATGACAAAGTGGAAAAAAGTTTACTTGTGATACATTTAGTCCTTCAGGACTTCATCAGACTAAATTTGTTATTTTGGTAGGACTACACATGCACATGACAGAGGGATGCTGTGAATTTTATTATGTTTTTTTTCATCTAGCTGATTTCCTTCAGAGTACTTTTCCTTTTCTTTCCAAATATCTACTTACAAAAGTGAAGGAAAAAAAACAACACTAAAGGAATTTGGCTAGATAAAAAAAAATTCTAAAATTACCAGCATCCCTCTATCATATGCAATGGATAGTCCTACCAACACTGCAAATTTAGTCTGATGAAGTCCTGAAGTGTGTGATATATGTGTGTGTGCATATATATATATATATATATATATATATATATATATATGTGTGTGTGTGTGTGTGTGTGTGTGTGTGTGTGTGTGTGTGCGTATACTTGTCAGCTGTGAATATACCTCATAACACACTCAAGTGCTTAGCCTTGGAGTGGGTAGAATGGAGATCATCATGTTTTAGTGGACTCAGAAGTTTTCAAGCTGCTTATCTGAATTGTCTTCAAGAAGTGAGAGCAAGATCTAAAAGGTCAGCTAATCTAAAAGTGATCTCACACCACAATCCTCACTCTTGCTCCATATGTGGCCTCCTTTGTAAATTACTAGCAGGTCTTAGGTGCCACTTAAGATTATCGCACAAAATTTCATAACTGAATCAATTGGTTAAGTTGTCAGATCCTCATATGTCGAAAATGACGGGAGAGTCCATTATATATAGTACAGGTAATAAATCCATTGGTATATGATCCAAGTGGATCCTAGTAATATCAAATATTAAAACTGATCCCAAAAAGAGCTCAATGTATTCATTATAACAGAGCATATAAATTACACAACAAAATCCAAAATTACCTCATATAGTGGGATATATATATATATATATATATATATATATATATGGGGGGTGTATTGAAGAACAAAACATACTAAATATACTTCATTAATAAAAAAAAAAATGTGAACCCAAACTCTTATGTGAAGATGTAAAGAAGTGATATTTGAAAGTGACAAAACTGACATAGCACAAGAACAAAAGCACTTTATCATGGCTTATGAAAGTTGAAATTACTCAGACATTGACAATTTATATTTAAACTTTCACTGGTAACCAGGAAAGTGATACAAAATATAGAAAATAAATTTTTAAAAATCCTTTGTTTTAAACCAAACTTGCATAAATCAAAAACTACTGTTCAAATACACACAATAAAGATTCAATTTGTTTATAAGATACCTCAAATGCACAGACCAATATATGTAAAGCACACTGAAACAAAATTAAAAATGGGGTGTCTATTTCAAATATGAATATCCACTAATAATAATGTTAAAGTTATAAAAATGCTAGATTAACAATAATATCTATTAATTCTCTAGTTTTGTTTATGTTTCAGATATGAAACTGAGTAGATATGGGCCTTTGAAGAAAATAATCTGAAAAAGAAAAGTAAAAGACCCCAGATAAAATAGTGTTTTTTCCTCCAAAGGGGGATGCAGTTTCAATTTCTGCCAGAGAGCACACTTTCTTTATTTAGGTTTCTTGAATGCATTGCCTGATAGACATAATACACATTACAAGATAAGGAAGATGCCATCATACACTAGAAGACAAGGAAGATGCCATCAGGGTATATAAGACAAGGAAGACACCATCAGGGACTATAAGACAAGGAAGATGCCATCAGGGACTATAAGATAAAGAAGATGCCATCAGGCACTAGAAGACAAGAAAGATGCCATCAGGGACTATAAGACAAGGAAGACGCCATCAGAGACTATAAAACAAGGAAGACGCCATCAAAGACTATAAGACAAGGAAGACACCATCAGGGACTATAAGACAAGGAAGATGCCATCAGGGACTATAAGACAAGGGAGACGCCATCAGGGACTATAAGACAAGGAAGACGCCATCAGGGACTATAAGATAAGGAAGACGCCATCAGGGACTATAAGACATCATGATGAAAAGAAACTATTGCTATAAGATTAGGAAGAATTGTCAGATATTATAAAACAATGAATACACTATCAGACTAGGAAAACTAAACAGTTTGCATAACCAGAAAATGAGACCACCAGACACTGTAATTTCAGATGAGTTTCATTCTTATATGAAATTTAAGTTGATACTTGTTGGGCCCAAACATCAGATATTCTCTTATGAACAACAATGAACATTCAGAATGAAAATCTAATAGCTTCTGATTTGTCCACCTTCTGGCATGAATGGATAACAGACATTCATCCATGCAGAAAGGGTGTGTCTATCCTGTTTAATATTGAGCTGCATCAAAGAATTAATCAGTACATCTTTCTTAGGAGTGAGGGATATCTGTCATAAATGAAAATGAATATGACAAACTCCAAGTCATACAATTTGAGTATGCCAATACTGATTTGGCAGGAAAAAGAGAAATTTTGTATCAGTTAAAACACAGGGATCAAAAAAATCTATTGAAAATAGCGATTGGTAGTTTTCTTTTCCAGTAGTGTGAAAGACAAAAGAGGAGAGTGACTTGTTAACAAATATTGATTATTATCACAATCAGAGATAAAACTAAAATAAAAATTTATATCATGGATGGGTGGGTAGTGTCACAGATCTTTTTCTTCTCTGTGCCGTGTTCCTTCAGGTCCTAAGTGATCATGGAACTTAAAAATTTCCTACCCTTGGGTTTGTCTTTTTACCATTTCTCCTACTCCCTTTTCTGATATTCATTTACACAAACTCCCTATCGAGGTTACTTGCTGTTTCTTCTCTGTCGCTCTCATTTTCAATATGTCCTGTGAATGTCAAATTCTCCAAGCTCTCTTTTCTCATTGCACCTTAGAAATTTCAACTCTATCTTTCTAATTCTAATCCCTTTTTTGCTTCCATTTTCCTTATAACTTCCTCATTATTCACTTGTTTGGTCTATAGTATTCTCAGAATCCTTCTATTGACCCCCATTTCTGTTGCTTCAAGTCTCTTCTTTACCTATGAGGAGATTGTCCAGCATTCATTGCCATATAGGAGGAATGATATTACAGTTCAGTACATTATCAACAATGATTCACTGGCCCTGATGTTGTTATTGGAGATAGTTCATTTGAGGTTGCCAACACATGTTTCTTTCAGAATGTGCTCAGGAGAAGAAAAAAGATATGTAGCCACATTTTCACTAATGTTTGAGTGGCTTTGATTCAGTTGCATCTCTGCTCTTGAAAATCGAAATCTGTTGGCTTTTATAAGAAAATTTTCCCAAAAGTAGGCTCCAGAAAAATAGGATTTTAGTTTTCTCTGATTGGCGAAATATCTTATATGGTGATGTTAATTTCTAACCAATAGGCATTTTGATTTAAATGATGTTGTATTATGTAATCTTTTTGGTATGTTTGTAAATATTGTCTGTTATTGGGTAAAAAATAAAGTTTGGGTGTGATTTAATATGATATCTATGCAGATATGTAATTGCATTGGAAATAGGATTTATTTCCTATAAAATCATAAAGATACCTGCAGGATCACAAAAGGAAATTTCACCTAATTCTAGTCGACTGACTTATTTTTAAGGAAACATAAACAGGTCCTATGGAAATTAAGTCCCTCAAAATAAATTTTCTTACTGGAAATTAAGTCTCTAAAAATAAATTTTCACTTTGTAAATTAATTTCCTGAAAATAGATTTTCTTGAAAAATGAAAGGTTTATTTTAATTTATGCATGGAATTATAATGAGATAACTCACTGAGCACGACAGGCTAAATGCCTTCTGCTTCACAGAAAACCATACCCTTGATATTTTATAGGACCAAACTGCAATAATTCATCAGCTGAGGTGTGAGGACTTCCACCATTTGGAAAGTTAATGAGCTATTCTGCTTGATTTGCTCTATAAAGTACAATGAATTAAATATTCTAACATATCTCTTGACAGTATGAAATATTAATGAAATTAAATCTGTCACCACTTTCTTTTTCATTTCAGGACTTCATGAGTTCATTAAAAAAAAGAGCTTCATTTAAAAAAAAAATAAGTGGATACTTCTGTTCATTCATTATAAAAATACCAGTTTTCTGAAAATGTTTTCAAAGGTTTTCTTGACATCTCTGAAATTCATGAAGCCTTCAATCATTTTCATTTTTTTCCTATTCGCACATGATACTAATGAACGAAGAGAAAGGGCTAAAAAGAGTTATAAATGATATTATGACTTTTTATTTTGAAAATTTCGAAAAAGAATGTAAGATGAAGACAAAGCCAAAAATTTTTGACAATGAGAAAGAGGTAATGAACACAAAAAGAATTTGGAAAGGAAAAATGAATGTGGTGAGGAAGAATGAAAAAAGAAAGGAAGAAGAAGACAGATTAGAGGTGTTTAAAGCATGGGGAAAATGTAATGAATATGAAAAGATAGAAAAAATAAATGAACAAAGGGAGGAGGAAGTCATAAAAGAAAAAAAGAAAGGAAGAAGAAGACAAAACAAAGGTGTTTAAAGCATAGAGAAAAGGCAATAAACATGAAAAGAAGATGGAAAGAAAAAATAAATGAAGGAGAGGAGGAATAAGTGATAAAAGAAAAAAGAAAGGATGAAGAAGACAGAGAAGAGGTGTTTAAAGCATGGTGAAAATGTAATGAATATGAAAAGAAGATGGAAAGAAAAAATGAAGGAAGAAAGGTCTAAAAGAAAAGAATGGAAAGGAAAAAGACAAGAAGTGTTTAAAATGCAAGAAAAAGAAGGGAACACACAGAAAGGATGCACATCATACAAATGAAGGTGAAATATGTTAAAATTATGGATAAAGAGGGAATTAATAAAAATGAAATAAAAAAGAAAATCAAAGAATTCATGAGATGGTCAAGAAAAAGAAACAAGATAGGAAAAGGAGAAATGAATGCAACAATATAAGCAGCTATAAGGTTAAACCTGTACATTTTTCTAAGTTTTAATGGCTATATGACATTCAACTTATGTTTCAACAGACTGGCTGAATTTTAGAAAAAATAACTCAAGAGAAAAGGTAATATAAATAGTATGATAATGCAAGTAAGAACAATAGCTATTTTCTAAATTAATCTTAAATATACTTTATTGTCTATGCTGGTAGGCTATTATGTATGTTCATATATAATTTAAGTAGAGTTTAATTTCCTGATTTATACATTTATATGTAAATGAAGTGTATTTATAAATATATGCATGCAACTGGTATGCATAAAAGTACAATTATACTTGTACACATAATTGCATGAATATAACTTATATAAGTTTATATAATATTATTTAAATCATTTTATTTGTATTTATATATATAAAATGACTTAAATATATATTATGCAAATTTATATATATATATATATATATATAAATATAAAATATTCAATATTTGCATATGCATGCACATATACATCACAATAATATATTATATATATATATATATATATATATATATATATATATATATATATATATACATAACCTATACGCATTACACACACAGGTATGTTGGTTGATATATATAAACATATTCAGATACAAATATATATATATATATATATATACATGTAAAATACATATATATATATATATATATATATATATATATATATGCATGTGTCTGTGTCTATATGTATACATACCTATATGTTCATTATACATAGGTATATTCAAAATTATATATATATATATATATATATTTATGTACATATACATACTCTTACATACATTAAACACAGACATACACACACACACATATATATATACATGCATACACATGCTGAAACTTGTTTGTTGATATATATATATATATATATATACATATATTTGAACTCATATATATTTATATGTGGGTGCGTGTGTGTGTATTTATGTATGTACACCTAAAATATTTTTTGCTTATAAATATTTAAAATGCAGTTTTGATATATGAATTGACAGTTTGAGTTATTTGGAAAGTTTGCCTTTTGACAGTTTTGAAAAAAATTTAAATTGACTGGCAATCAAAGTTGATTATTCTTGCCAAATTTTCTGTTTTCTTCTTTTTGATTTAAAATTCCAGAAAGCAGGATTTCATGTGGGATTTTTCTTTACTCTTTTCAACTTGTCTGCTCTTGTGACCCTTTTCAATTATCCCCACTTTGTCCAAATACATCAGCTCCATAAACTTAGTTCCTATTGAGTTGATTACATCATTTGTCTACAAAGGCTTTTTGTAAAATATTTTGACTAAAACCTTAAAATAAAATAAAAAAAAATTTTAGAAAATAATACTGAACTGCTATGTAATTAATATCAATCCTCCTATATGACAGTGAATTATGAACAACTTCCTCACAGATGAAGAGGCGAGGTAATAGAGATGTTGTTCTACAGAAGGATTCTGAGAATACCATGACGGGAACATGTAAGCAACAAAGATGTTTCAAGAAAAATGGGAATGAAAAGGACATTTTTGCTTACGGTCAGAAAGAGACAATTGTTCAAAATGAAAATTCAAGTTGGAATTTTGAGAATTTTACGTTCATTGAACATACTGAACAGACAAGAGTAGACAGAAATATCAATTTACCTCTCAAGCAAACTTGTGTAAATGGATGTCAGAACATGAACTAGGATGAATAAGAAGAAGACAATCACTGCTTAGAGTTACAAAGAATAGGATAGAATAGAATAGGATGATGTAGAGAACCATAATCACTCAGACCTGTTTTTAGAAGGTAAAATTACAGTCTGTATTGAAAGATGGTAATATTCCAAGGTCTAATTAGTGACCTTCATCAACATGCCAAAGAACTCAAGTCAAATGAGGATTTACTATTCTTTTTGACCATTGAAATTGCTAATATCTGCTAATTCTTAAAAGATTAAATCAACAATAACCAAATCCATGAAAACTTTATATTTATTTTCCAGACTGTGTAAGAATTACACCCCATGAGATATTAGTAAAAATATAATATTCCCAGATGTGAATATGTTCCTCAAGTTCAGTAACTTTTATCCTGACCTTCTGTCTGAAGTTGTATGGAACATCAACATCTTGATTATGCCATGATATTTTTTTTTAATCGTTTCACCCCAAGCAAGGTAATAAAGCCACTAGGATGCAAGAGATTACTGAGTGTTAGAGAATATGAGAAAAAACTACTATTTCAGGAAAGAGAATAATAAAAGAATAAGAATTAAGAAGACAGAAGATAACAAATGGCATTACATTTACATTTTTGAAAATCAAAGTTGATTGGGATGCAAGAAACTGAAACAGAGTTCCACAAGCAAGAAGTGTGATAGAAGAAACAGATAGTGAAGAACTTACAGTTACATCCAGCCAAAAAATTACAGTTGAGATTTCTAGGACACATAATGAGGAAAGAGGGATTGGAGAATTTGACACTCACAGGTCATATTGAACGTAAAAGGAAGACAGTGAAGCAGTGAGTAACCTACCTAACAAGCTTGTGTAAATGGGTTGAAAGGACATGGACAGGAGGGTGGGGATAGAAACATTAATAAGTGCTACAAAAGATAGGGAGTTATGAAACCATGACTGACAATGTCCTGAAAAGATATGACAACAAGAAGAACAACAACAACATATTCTGTTATTATCATCTGCGTAAAAACAAACACATTTTAGAACCTGATCTGTGCTGCTAAGGAAAATGATAGTGAGGATCCAGTAGGGACATGATAAAATATTTTTGTGAAGTTTTAATCTTTGTAAGAAGCAGCTGTCATCATTGAATAAGTGATGAGTTAAAAAAAAAAAAAAAGAAAACTTCTAATTTGCGATTTTGAACATTTGGAAATGAAGAGATACTTGAATAAAGAATTATGACCAGATGAAAAACATTTCAGGTAAAGGACCCCCTTGTGTAGTTTTTAAACTGTGGCAGGATTAAAATGCACCAAATTTATTAAAAATGCAAAGAATAAAAGAGAGAAGTGTGGAAGGAAGAAAAAATCCAGTGTCTTGCAAAATATAGTAAATAAAAAGGAAAATATTTATACAAGATATAATGAAAACAAAAGATGAGGATGAAGATGGAATTAAAAAAGTGAATGAAGGAAGGTGGATGTTGAAAAAGAAAGACAGAAGAAGACAAAGCAGAAGAGTTTAAAGTATGAGAAAAAGAAAAATCCAAGTGACAAGAAGAAAGCACATCATTCCAATGAAAACTGAAATGTGTTAATAATATGAATTAATTAAGACAGAAATGGTGAGAGTGAAAGAAAAGAGGAAAGGGAAGAAAATAAGAAAAAAAAAAGTATAAAAACAAAAAGAAAAAGTAAGGAATTTGAAGGAAATATTTGAAAAAATGGAAAAAGAATGAAAAGAATAAAAAAAGACAAAAATGTTATAAAAGAAATATCTAAAGAATGAAGAGTGTAAAAGCAAGGGGAATTGTCAACAGAAAACAAAAGACAGAGAAAAGGAGAAGATAATGGGAAATGAGGGAAAAAATAAGTAAGATAATAAAAAGATGGGAAAATGGAAAGAAATGAATAGAAAAGAAGAGAAAAATTTAGAATAGAAGAAAGTGGGGGGAAAAAAAAGAAACAACAGCCTGAAGAAAGAAAATGAAACAAAAAGAAATATATAGATGTGAAACAAATTGTCTCTATGGCAAATAGGTTGACATTTGCAAATTTCAATTAAGATATGTGGCACATATTGAGCAGTTGTCCAATTATATAAACTAATTTTGTATCAATTTATTCTGTTCCTGGTTGGAACATAAATTTGAGAAAAATTACATCCTCCACCATGATCAATTCCATCAGTATAATGCAAGAAAGAGTTTTAATGGACTGAGTAAAATCTGCTGCAAGAAATTTGGATGTTTGTGTTTAAAATGAATGAATCTAAATTGAGAAATCCTGCTATTTACAGCCAATCTTTTTCTAGACTGCTTTCATTTTACTTTTTGAAATGGTTTAATTTTATTTCCATGAATTTTACAAAATTTCTGAATTTTATTTTCTTCAAATACTTGTTATGATTTAATTCCCTTCACATTAACATTCCAATCTTTCTCAAACTTGTCTTCTAATTTTTATATGCAATGAACCAGGGAAATGTTTTCTGTTTATTACCAAATTTATTTTGTATTTCAGGTATGTATTGACCACTTCTGAACTATTTACCAAGAAAGTTGAAGAAATTCTGAACTCTCAAAAATATTGAAAGTAAAGAACATTTAAAGATTATAAAAATTAACATTGAAATATTGACAAAATCATCTCCAATTCTTTGTTCATTAATATTATCTCTATATAAGTTTTTGATCTCTCTGTTAAGTATTAAATTTCCTACAGTACCTCAAATAAATTAGCTTACTTTTGTAGTTCTAAATATATATATATATATATATTATTTCCTTTTGATATATTCTGAATGTTTTAAATAAATGCAAATTAGGTACCACCAACAGCAGAAATTACTTAGGTTTCTGTATATGAAGGTGACAATAATAATATAATAGCATGAACTAATGAACAGAATAAAATCCTCACTCACCCTATATAATGTGTAATGACTTTTTTTTTACTAATTTTATATTTCATTTTTGATATGAGGAATTGTCACTATAGTTTAATTATCTGTCTATATCTCTGAGATGAGGTATTATGATTACTTGCATTATTTACATTACTCGGACTGTTATCCTCATCTTCATGCCATATTCACAATGTTTCGGCTGTTGTACACACAGGCCTACTTCAGGTGATTGGAATTTCAAATGCTTTAGGGGTAGATTGTTCTAGTTCCACATGCCAAGCTTCTTCTGGATGTCTCAGCTATTTCCCTTTAATTCAACTCTCCAAGTTGTTGCCTGGTATTGAATTCACAACTCTTTGGGTCTAGTCACTGGATCTAACCAATGTCCTTATCCACTGCCTCATGTGTCCTTGAGGACCTCTGTGGATGAATTTTTGGGACTTATATGCCTAATGTCACAGCCACCATTTTTTACCAGTGCTCATATTGCAATTTTTTCTGTTACTGTTATTGCATATTTTTTTTACCAGAGCTTATATTGCAATTTTTGTTGTTATTCATTGCTATTCTCTAGCACTCCTTATTACTGGTTCCCATTTTGTATTCATTTATATGCTTGGTCAGCTCAGGAGATCTTTGTGGCATAGCATATGTGCTGATTCCTTAAGTTTTTGTATTTTCCAGTGATGCTCTCTGTTTATTATTTCACCCTCATCCCACAGGGGGCAGTAATCTCCCTTTTCCCTCCATATGTGGTCAGCTATGCCTGATTTTTCTATTTCACCTTGTGTTACTGCTTTACAATGTTCATGTAATCTTACCTTAAGGGGGGGGCAGCCTGCATCTCCTTTGTATTTCTGGTTGGTAGGGGATGAAATATTTATTTTTTCAATAAAAAAGAAATAAATGTTCAAAAATTAATATAATGTGATTTTCTAGATTTTTTTTTATATTCTATCTTTCACTTTTAAAACAGGCCTACCCTGAGAATTATAGATTGTTCCCATTTTTGTAAGGTGGCAAACTCAGAAAATCAGCAGGGGATGAAATACTTATTTTCCCTGCTGTAACATGAGACTGGTTACAGAAACATTTGGCTGAATTCAAGATAATCCACTGGCTCCTAAACTCATCAAATTTAAACACCATTTAGCATGTATGGAACATGTTATGAGACCTCACTAAATTATATACAACCACACCCAACAAACATAATTCAGTTATGGATATCTCAGGGAACATCTTGTAGACTCCATATTGTATAGTGCAGCTGCTACTATTCAGGTAAAAGGAGAAGCTATTTGTTATTAGATAGTTTCTTTTTTTTTTTAAATCATTCTACTATAAACAAAGTAAGAAAGCCACTAAAACACAAGGGGTTACTGAGTGTGAAAGAATATGAAAAAAGAAAACATTATTAAGGAGAGAGAACAATAAAAGAACAGAAATTAAGAAGACAGAAGATAATGATTGACATTGCATTCAAAGTTTTGAGTGTTTTAGTGGCTTTTGTAGTTTTTAGTAGTTTTAGAAGAGGAATGAAGAAGACAGTACATAATGATTGACACTGCATTTAAATTTTTGAAGATCAAAGTTGTCTGGAAAGAAGCCTGTTAGCATAGAACTTACAGTTTAAATTATCATTTTCTGATATGATTATAAACACACAAAAAAAAGAACTACACTTTAGAACATAAGCAAGCATGACTTTCCACAAATTCCTTTTCTTTATTATCTATGCATTACCATCTCTTCTTGGGAAAGATGCTAACATTGTTTCCTCATTTCCTTCTGCACATGTTTGAATTGAGAATAATCCTTCAAGTCTAGAAAAATCCAGTCTACCCTACAATTCGACCAATAGCTAGGAGAGAAGATATGGATTTATGTTTTTCTTCAAGGCATTAAGTGTAAATTAATTTTAACAGACTTAGTTGAAATTTGAACTCAGCTTACCAGTTTCATTTTCTCTGCTGATAACCATTACACTATTTATACATCCATATGACTATTGGGTAAGACTATCAAATTGGCAGAAATATATATATTTAAATATGTAAAAATATGTATTATGCAAATCACATAATTCTGAAGAAACATATAAACATAATAAACATTTATTTATGTTATTAAATCTTTGATGAGATTGTTTCTAGTAGGTTTATAGGATAATATATAATAGTGAGGTACTTGCTCAAGTAGGGCACAAAAAATTAAAAAATGAGCATCACAAAAAAAAAAAATTAGATTTGAGATATGTTTGAGTTCCACTAAATTAGATGTTTTAAAATTCCTGATTCTATATATTTTATTATATTGTATCTGATCCTCTCATTACCCAACTGTAAATATTTTTAATTTTTATATATACATTTGTTTTTTGTTGCTTTACACTTGCATTTATTTTCTGGAATAAGACCTATATATTTTACCTACATATAAAACGTCTATAAAAGTTTTTGAAGGTAATATTTCAGGAAAAAAAAAAATGGAAAACCAAACTTTCTGATATATCTTGAAACTTAATACGAGTAATTTGAGACAAATGATACAGCTCAGTTCACTGTGACCAGACCCATGAAACAACTAAATATCGACTTCAAGTGACCTGTAACTTGTGTCATGCATAACACATATTTACTTGTAGTAATTGATGAATACTCACAGTCTCCATTTGTCTTCCCATGTCCAAATATGCACATGACAACAGTAATTAAATCCTAGATCTATTGTTCAGCTTAGCCAGGATACCTGATTATATAGACTTGGACAGAGACGTGTCCTTCATGTCTGAGGAACTGAGAAACTATCTCACCCAAAAAGGGGTTGCAACAAGTAAAACAACTCCATACCACCTGACTGGTAATGCACAGGTTGATGATTTAACAGCATTATATGGAAGATGATTGGTCAAGCCATTAGGTCGCATAACATACCTGAAAAGTACTAGGAATTAGTGCTTCCTGAAGTGTTACACACCATAAGCTCAACAAATGCCACACCTCATGAACACTTCTTTGCATTCCCATACCACTCATCACATGGGACTTCCCTGCCATCCTGACTAATGTCACCAGCTCACATACTTTAAAAAGGTTTGTAAGAAACAGTAAAACCAATCCTTATGTAGACCAAGACAAAATACAGTAATCTGACATATGTCAACATAAGATATTGAGGTGGAAGGGAGTCTACTGTATCTGCAATTTGGCACCCATCCCTGAAATGAAGCTAACCCCTGAGCCTGCCATCATGAAATAAGATAGGAGGACTCCGATTGTTCCTATACAGGAGGAGGGCACAACATATAAAGAAGATGTTGCTGAGGTCCAACAGATAAGGAGATCTAGATGAACAATGAGACCCCCAGATTGTTATGGATGGCGATGCCACAATTTTCCAAGGAGCAAAAATGTGGTATCCACATAGACTATATAATTTGTGATTTACCTCACTTTTATTTTGTAGCTGAGTTTCATTTAGCTAAATAGAGCTTAGTACTTTTACTTCTGTTCTGAGTTTTCTTTTACTTATTCCACCATTTTTGTAGATTGAGGACAAATTTAGTCTTCTTTTTAGTTCTTAGTTCCAGAAAAAGGTATATGGGTTGAATCTAACACTGGTTCTCCCAAAGTTTTTGGGTTGAATCTAACACTGGTCCTCCCAAAGCAGTATGGATGCTAATGTACATTAGATTTGCTTTAAAACGATAACATTTTTTCTGTTTTAAATTTTGTGATGATGAGGTATCATTATTTACATTAGAATTATTGTCCTCATCTTTGTTATTGTTATCACAATGTTTCAGCAATTTTGCCCTCTGAAACATTATAATAACAGAAATGAGGACAATAGTCTAAATATAAATAGGGTAAATAATAAAACTATAACAATGTGTTTGTGTTAATAAGAAATCTTCTTCTTTGTGTCATATTCCCTCAGAACATAGGCAATCATGACTCTCCACAATTTCCTGTCCTTTGTAGTTGTTAATAAATTTTGTCTTTCTGTTATTTCTTCTAAACCCTGTTCCGTCATCCATTTACTCAAGCTCACTAAGTAGGTTATGCATTGTTTTCTCTGTCTCACTTGCCTTCAATCTGCCCTGTGAGTATCAGATTTACCAGACCCTCTTTTCTCATTATGTACCATAAAAATTTCAACTCTCTCTTCCAGATGTTAAGTATAAGTAGTTACCTTTTTTGTTTCCATTTTCATGGAAATTATCAAGAAATTACCTAAGCTAAAAGTGTTTGCTTGCTTAAGATTTAAACATGTGCAATTTCTAAACACTTACAGTTAAAAAAAAAAAAAACTTTATCTTTGATCAAGCCTTGCATAAAAAATAAGAATATCTATGAAGATGCAACATTATTTTGTTTCTGTTGAGCCATACTTGTTTTCTTTTTGTAATAAAATCATTATTTTATTAATCTCCATCAGTACAAAAGAGAATATAAATCAAATAATAAAGTTCCTCTTTTCTACTCTTCCATTTCATGGAACATATTTAATCCTTTTCATACATTACACAATTTCATTCAAGGGAAGCACATGAGAACAGTTGAAAATGTCTTGAATATACTTCAATAATCCGAGTATTAGTATATACACATAACTCACTCTACCTAGCTTTTAACGAGATCAAAAGGTCTTGAGTTCAATCATCACTGCTACCCTTTGGCAAATAAACCCTTGACTGTAAGGTAAGTTGAGAAGTAAGTATAATGAACGGGAACTGACAAGGTAGTCTATGATGGATCACAAATCACTTAAAATAGGAATATAATCCCTTTCCACTTGGACTTGCTTTTATTGGGGTAATATATATTTTTGCTTGCTCTTATGGCCAGCATCACATGGCCTGTATATGTTTAAGTAAGCGTAATATAGATAGACTTCTCATTTGTCACTTAAAGCATTCTAACACTAAATTTGTGACATAGCAAGTGCGAGCAAGGTGTAACATCTTAACATAGCAGACAATCTTTCTTTAAATCTTCCTTTGAAAAGAAAACCTAATTCAGATTTATTTCCGTGGAGAATATGCTTTCAAAAACTGGATAGAAAAAAAGCATCAAAACAGATTCTTTAGCAAAGCAACAATATTTCTTGGGAAGCTTTGCAGATATTTTTTCATCCAATGATTAAAGTTTAGCTTACGTTTATGATTTATGTGAGGTACTGTGAAAAAGTTTATGGTACAACCGACTTCCCAAAGTCCAACCAACTGAAACTCCAACCAGGAATGTGTTTTTGTACACTCCCTTGTATCCATTGAATCAATTCTTAAAGAATCAAACTTATATCTATCTAATAGAAAGAATACGTACATAGAAACACTCCTAGATTAATGGAGTGCTACTCCACTGCACAAAGGTGAAAGCATTAGAATTCCTCCTACTAGACAGACACACATACACAATTATGAATACACATTACCATCTGATGCCTTCTTAGATATATTAGAATTTTCTACAAATTTACATACATATAAAATTATCTACAGTTTTAATGTATGTGATACATGACTGACCAATGAGAATCAACCCAAACAAAATTGAAAATATCGAAGTTCTGTCTGTTTCTCTCGATTGCTGATGGAGCTTTATTAAAAAGTGAAACATGTTATATTAATAAATGTTTCCTATTTGTTCTTTAATTATCACTCTGTTGAATTCCGGTCAGTATTTGATAAATCTTGTTTTTAAATAGAATAGATTATTTTAACACAATTAATTGACATTTTAATCTAATATTATTTCTTATTAATATAAACATTATATTTAACTGGTACATGTGTTTGAGATGACATCCCAGTTATTGTAAACTGTCAAATTAATATCTACTTGCCTAGAGATGAGTTGGGATCAAATATGGATCTGAATCAGACGGAATGATAAGATAAAGTACAAATATCAGTCTAACATGTTTCACTTTTATTAAAACTTTGTCAGAGACTGAGATATGGAGAAAAAGAAAAAGTTCCTTGAATCCATTCTTCAAGAATCTAACATATGTTTATCTAAAAAGAAACGGTATGTACGTGAAAACAAAATCAATGTGTGAAAAACCAACAAACATAATGTCTAAGAGTCATACACACATAAACAAAGATTACAAATATACATTATCATCTGATTTTCACATAGACAAACTAGAATTTTTATACACTTACATATATATAACAATATTTACGGTTTTTCAGGTATTTTATTTTCTTGAAACTTCAGATGGATGTGTCATTTCTCTTTGAATTCAGAAGGCCACAAATTATACTAACATTGGTTTAAAAGAGTCAAATTGCCTAGAGATCCATAGTTTTATTAAAGTAAATGTTCCTCCTGACAGGAATCAAACTTGAGTTTCCTTAATAACCAGCAAAACCATCTTCAGGCCAGGCATACTTTTTATCTTTAATACAAAATAAAGTGAGCAGATTTTAAAATTCCCAATCTTAAGTTGGATAACCGAGGTTTGTTTGACTGAGATAGTGGCTCACTTTTTTGCGGGTGGATGGAATTACTTCTTAGTCAGGCAAAGGACTTGTCAGTACTCCATTACACACACACACACACACACACATATATATATATATATATTTGAAATAAAGTACCTGTTCTTAAATAAATGATACACACTTTGACAGTCCCATGTCATCAAAATACATCTGTCCTCCTTTGATTATATCATTCCTATAACAGAGAAAATATCTGTGACAGGAAGATGAGAATTTAAAATTGCTTTCTAGTATCTCAAATCTTTGTAAGTCATTTGTGGAAAGAAATTAAAAAATTTTGTGAAGAATGAATCTTGATATGAAGGGAAAACTTTAGGATAAAAATACATAACAATCAAACCATATTCAATTTCTCAATTATTAAGGGATTTATTTTTAATCCAACATTTTTATTGCTTGAAATATTACAGTTTCAATTTAAAGTTTTAAATTATTAAGAAGCCCTTTTAAAAGTATTTAAAACTTAGCACTCATAAAGTATATAAGAGTATTTGGACAGTCCTTACAAACTCTATGTCCCAAAAAAGAAATCTTTTTTATGCATAGGAAAATGTAATAAAAAGCTTAACTGCAATGCCTTGTCAGTCAACTTTAATGAAACCCTCTCTCTCTCTCTATATATATATATATATATATATATCTTAGATACCTGGTTTTTTATATATATATATATATATATATATATATATATATATATATATCTTAGATACCTGGTTTTTATATATATATATATATATAAGATACCTGTTTTTACCAGTTTTACTTAAATTGTTATTAGAACTCAAAATAAACCTTTCCAAAACAGAATATATGATATGGAATTGAAATGAAACCCATGATGGCACCTACCTTAAATCCATCATAAAAATTTAGGCTGTGGAATTAGTAAATACTAAACATTTCAAATGCAAATTTATTATATCAGATAAGGAAACTGAACATAGAACAGGTTGCCCTAGATGTAGTTTCATCCAACACTACAAATTGCTACAAAACCAAAACATTAGCCTGAAAACTCTATTCATATTTTTAGATAACCTTGTCAGTTCAGGCTTTCATAGTAACAAACACATTCAGAAATATCTAAAGTGTCAGCTGTATATAATCACTTCCTAAGATCAATGGTTAAAAATGGCTTTGAGCCTATGGGTCTTCATGAAGACCTCACTTAGTCAGACCTTGCGGACTGGGATTACAGAATGTGAAGCTAATGTTTCTGTACCAAATAATAGAAACCACATCACTTATGGATTATCGACAGTAGCAACAGATAAAACAGATATCCCATGTAACTTGAAAGGAAAAAAACTTATAATCAAGCTGTTGATATTCCACACTTCTTCAGATAAGGATTTGGAAGAAAATCCCTCATAAATATTGGAAAAAGTGATAACAGCTACTGGATTTGAGAAATCTATTTTCCTGAAAGATTTTATAAATTTCAACTGAAAGTAGTAGTGGCAGCTTGGTCAATGAATACTGAATGTTTTCTTATAAGGAAATGGCTAATATTACCATTGCTAACACCAACAACTGTTACTTTAAGTACTTTAGTTAAAATCTAAATTCACTCTAATTCACTCTCTAGGTTTACCATTATCACCAGTTTTTCCCTGACTTTGACATTATTTACTTTCACTATCACCAAACTTATACCAATCAGTTCTATCAGTAGTATTATCACTGTTATCAGTATTATAATTATTCAGATGTGTCTACTGATTTTCATATGAATTACATTTGATTTAGTCCATACATATGGAGATTTTACTCTTTTCCAATTCATCTTTTTAGTATTACTTTTCACTAAATTCATGTTTTCATCAGTAACTCAACAAACTTATTTTGTATATTCTTTCCAAATCATCTCCTATTACAACATTCTTCTTCTTCTTCCTCTTTTCCCTCATAAACTCTTAAAAAAGTATAAGCCATTGGGCTTACACGTTTTTCTCTTTTATCCCTCTTCTTTCTTTCACCTTTTTCTCATAATCTCTTTTTACTGCCTTCTATTTTTCACCCTTTCTTCCTGTTTTTTTCTAGCTATTTTTCTCTGTTTTAAAGACTTCCTCTTCCTTCCTGTCCCATTCTTCTATCTTCATTTTAATTTTCATAATCATCATTTCTTTTCTTCTATTTTCCCCATCTTTCCTTTTTCTTTATTCTTATCATTTGTTCTAACCTTTTCTTTTCCTTTATTCCTTTTCTCAGGATATTTGATGATTTTCCTTTCTTCTGGTGTCTTAATTCTTTTACATCATGTCTGATGTCATATTTGACCTCTGACTTTTATCTTTTTTACTGTATCATGACTTAATTCTTACCTTCTCCCAATTTAATTCTTTTCCTTCTATAATTATTAATTCCTATAATTAACCTAATTTCCTTCATTTTTTTCTTCTGTATTTTTCATAAATATTCCTTTATTCACACTTTCTCTTTTTCTTTCTGTATTCTTTTATTTTTTGTTTTCACTTCTGCATCTTTTTGCGTTTTTCTTCCTTTCATTTTTCTTTTCTATTTCTTCTTTGTAAATTCTTTTTATCTTCCTCCAAATTCACTGCCTTATTTTTTTCATTTTTTTTTCTGTATTATTTACTTTTCTACACAGCCCACACAGCTGCCTCCACATTTCAGTGCAATGTCTCTTTTCCTTCTTGTTCCCTCCAATTACAAGTCAATAACATTTCTACCCATTTCTGTGACCAGAATAGTAAAAACATTATCATGACTTTACTCACTGCTTCAATATGAAGTAAGCAATGTTAGAAAAGGAGAGAGATGTTAGTGAGCAGAATGTGTGTTACTGTATGATTGATTTGGGTGTTGTGTTGCTTGTGGTGTTAGTCAAGCAAGAAAGAGAGAATCAGTCACTTTCCTTATTCAGGCTTCTATTCATATTTTCTATGTAACCCCGGCCCATTCCCAATTTGCATCCTCTCTTGTCACAGTCCAGATTGTTGTATAACTCTGAAAATAAACTTATTATCTTCTGGCATGGATGTTCTCCTTAATAGCTTTTTTGACTATTTTGTCTCGCATTGGTAGTGAATAAAATACAAGACAAGAAAGAATTACTGAACAAAGAATATTTTTGCAGTCTCTTCCTGTTTTAGGCCATTCGTATTAAATGTATTGTTGTTTTGTGATGGTTTTATTATAACACATTTATCTGACAAGAAAAACTGGTTTCTTCCTGTTTTAGACCATTGGTGTCAAAGGTTGGACCTTAATGCTGGCAGTAAGAAGAAAAACAGGAGTAAGAGGAGGAGAAGACACAGAGTTACTCACATTATATATTCTAAAACAATAAAATGGACATAGACAGATATCTAGAGCAAGGGAAACAACTAGAACATCAACAAAGAAGCTCCCTTGGGAAGTTGTCAAATTTTGAGGAGCATGGAACCATCTCATAATTACTGTTGTTCCCAGGTCCACACTCATCTGGGGTGGTAGCACCTGTTAGGGTCTCATCTATGGGCAATGAGTCCCATACATAAAGAAAACATTATGAAAGTACAAAAATACATTTTTGTAGTAAAAATATCAGCATTACATTTTTATATAAAGACATTACCAACAATACATCAATCAACATTAAAGAATTCTTTCATGATATTAATCCATATAATATTCTACAATTTCTTAAAGAAATCAAACTGTATTACCATATATAACTTTAAAAAAACTACAACATGAGACACATATATCTCTGCCTCTAATAATTATGTTCACACATAAAATGTTTGTTTGTTTAGTGGCAAATCAACTCCTTATGGGTCAATTAATGCCAAAATTTAATTTTCATGGGAGCATTAGTAAGTTCCTTTACAAAAATGTATTTCTGGTAATAGTTTTACTATGAAAATGTGCGGCTGGTATTTTTACTATCAAAATGTATTTTTATACTTCTGTAATGTTTTGACCCCACACAAAATATAATTATCAACTACCATGTATTCAACTGTGAAAGCAGAATAACATTTATCATATTATTATGACTTTAAAACTCCCAAGAAAATTAAATTTCAAGCATTAAATAACCCATAAGAAGTTGATATGCTGTCAAACAAACAAATCAAATCACCTGGCACAGAATATTCATGACCTCACCTTCAAAGATATCATTTATATTTGGTTCCTCATCTATGATTATATTTTCTGTTTTCTTACTTATTTTACTATCTTAACAATATAAGATATGCAGATGACATATATACTGTTGATAGCAGACACAGAAACGAAACTAAAAGAACTCCTACAAAAGGTAATGAAGGAAAGCAAGAAGAAAGGACTAAATATTATTTGCAAGAAGACAGTATGAATAGTTGTTAGCAAAAAGAATAGCCCAACATGTTGATTGCAAATTGGAGATACCAAAATCAAATAAGTAGAACAATTTAGAAATCTGGGAAGTGTTTTAACAGAGAATGGAAAATCCACTGAAATCTAAAGGTGCAAAGTATTAAGAAATAGAAAAATTCATTAGAAACTAAAAAAAGAGTACTGAACTGTTATTTAGTATCAGTCTGCATATATGGCACTGAATGTTGAACAATCTCCTCATAGATAGAGAAGATACTTGAAGCAACAGAAATGCCATTTTACAGAAGGATGCTGCGAACACCATGGATTGAATATGTGAGCATCAACAAAGTTTTCAAAAAATGGAAACAAAAAGGACACATACTTAACATCAGAAAGAGATAGTTAAAATTTCTAGAACATATAATGAGGAAAGAGGTCTTGGGAAATCTGATACTCAGAGGGTGTGTTGAAGGCAAAGAAGGCAGAGGAAAACAATGCATAATCTAACCAGAAAGCTAACATAAATGGATGGTGAAACAAAGTTTAGGAGAGATAACAAAAAGACAAAATTTATTATGAGCTACAAAGAACAGGAAATCAAAGGCTTCATGAGTGAGGTTTCCATAATCAAATTGTTCTACAAAATAAGCTCTTCAACCCTGTGCCAAATCACTGTACCTGGCTTTTCAAATTTAGAGTTTCCTTCTTCTATATTGGGTGCCCACCAAAATTGAAGTTCCTGATCTATTCTACTGTTTACTCCATATTTGAGAGGAGAAGAGATGTGTTCATAACATTCCCAAGGTTATTTGCAAAAATGAATGCAATGAATTTGACTAGAATTCAAACTCAACTAACCAGTTTCACGTTCTGAGCTACTAACTATTATAGCACCTGCACATCCTTATAAAATATTTACTTATAAGTATTTTACTCTTTTGATTTGATTTTGTCTGATTCCTTCATACATTATGTTGAGGGCAGTCAATATATGGCAGTGAATGTTAAACAATCTCCTTATAGATGAAGAAGATCATTCTACAGAAGGAAGCCGAGAATGCCATGGACCAAATATGTGATCATCAACAAAGTTTTAGAAAAAGTGGAAACAAAAATGGCACTTATATTTTGCATCAGAAAGAGAGCTAGTTGAAATTTCTTGGATACATAATGAGGAAAGAAGGCATGTAAAATTTGATACTCACAGATTAAAGGCAGGAAAGAGAGGAAAACAATGCATAACATAAACTAGCAATCTTCATTAAATGGATGGCAGAACAAGGTTTAGGAGAGATAGTAATTAGACAAAGTTTATTATGATATACAAATGACAGGAAATTGTGGAGAGCTATAATCGCTAATGTCCTAAAGGGACACATCACATAAAAAAAGATCAGCTTTCTTCATAGAGGCCTTTACTAAAAGCAGTTGTATATCAGTTATTTATTATGCAAGAGCCAATTACTATCTTTTTACTTTCTGAGATGAATTTTGTATTAGTTAAAATAAGTTCACCTGAAGATTTTTCTTTACTAATTAAGGTATCAACAAAAGCATTTAATGATCTGACTTCTAACAAGCTTAGTACAAGTATTTTCTAATATGCACAAATGACTCTTTAATTAACATGGACACTGCATTATGTTAATAATCTCTTGCACTTGCCTATTTTCACAATAATCATTGCAGACTCCTAAGAAGTGTTTTATAGAATTACAATTAAAACATCTCATAATCTTTCCATTTCTACCAATTGTACTAGAATCTCTATTAGAATTAAATCTTCAAAATCCTCTGTTTTCCATGCCGCTGCCATCATCTCATTTCAACTGTTACCTGATATTCATCTAAAAACATTATCATCAGCAGATGCAGCTGAATTATTGAAGATATTTTTAATCATTCATATTTTTATAGATCATACCCCCACAGGTAGCATGAGCCAGTCTCACACAAAAGTTTTGCAATATTCCTACTTGACAGTAGTCATAAGACTCTTTAAGCATGCGTATTTCTATCTTTTAGGAAAAGAATATAAAGTTTATTGGTAACAGTTTTAACACCATTCTCATAAACATTGCTCTCTGGTTTAAGGTTTTTGATATATTCTTTCTCCTGATCAGTCAAATTAAACTGTAGGATCTTGTTTAATTTTTTTCAAAATCTGTAAATAATTTGCGATCACGAGACCTGTAACCCATAAGAGTTGTATGGGAACCACATGTACTTTAGTCATAGCAGCAGTGGTGTAACTTAGGCAAGATTTTCTTCTCTTAGACTGGTTAC